TTGGAGAGGGACATCATGCTTGGGAGGGTGGAGGGACAGCGCAGGAGGGGAAGACCCTCTATGAGATGGATTGATTCTGTGACTGGGGTAATCGGGATGGGTGTGTCTGAGGCAGTGAGGTTGGCGCAGGATAGAGCAGGATTTAGGGCTGTTGTGCATAGGGTCGCTATGAGTCGCAAACGACTTGACGGCACATAACAACAACAACAACAACTGTTCCATTTATTTCTCCATGACCTGCCTTCCCTCCCTTTTGAGCCGGGTGCCAGAACGTGCCAGCAGGCGCGCTGGGTGTTGCTGGTCCGCACTGACTGCCCTGGCTGATGGGCTCAGGTGTTCCAGGCCTGCAGAGAAGGGTGGCCTCAGCCACTCAGGAGCATCAGGAGACACTGTTGTCTTCTGGAAACTCTCTTTAAATGTAAGACTTCATTGTCGCCTTTTTTCTTATCTCTGAGAACATATTCTATAAGTGACAGAATTTATTTCTGGGTTGAAGCACTTGAGTTGCTCAAAAGAAAAGTCCTTAGCCCCAAGTTAGTCACTTAAACTTTTTAAAGTGTGAAGATGTATAAGCATATTTTATAGGCTATATTAAAAGATACCCAATGATTCCTGGGGCCTTAATTTATGCTGGTGCCCTCAATGCTGCTTCCACTTCCTCCTTCATTACCGTTGGCTCCTGTTTATAAGGTACTTCCTGAAACTGTCAACAGCTTCATCTTGATTGGACCCACAATTAACACCCTTGGTACTATCAGACAAGGAATAAGGAGACACATTTCACTGGCAAAATCTGCAGTTGGAGACCTTTCCAAATTGTTGTGGAGTAGTGATGTCAGTTTGAGGACTAAGGTGCGTCTGAGTATGGCTATAGCCTTTCTGATCCCTTGCTGTGCACCTGGGAGCTGGACTGTTAGCAAGGGGGACAGAAGAATAATTAACACCTTTGAGCTCTGGTGTTGGAGAAAAGCACTGAACATTCCACGGACGGCCAAGAGAACAAACAGATATATCTTGTAGAGGGTGCAGCCAGAGTGCTCTTTGGAGGCACAAGTGATGAGGCTTTGCCTCACGTACTTTGGGCATGTTGCTAGGAGGAGGGGCTATTCTTTGGTGAGGGATGTGATTCTGGGAATGGTGGTAGGTCAGCAAAGGAGAGGAAGATCCTCAACCAGGTGGATTGGCATGGTGACTGCAGCAGTGAACTCGTGTGTCAGGAAGTGTGAGGATGGCGCAGGCTATAACAGGGTTCAGATCTTTTATTCATAGGGTCACTCTGAGTCATATTCAACTCGATAGCACCTAACAACATTAAAATCTGTGGGGTTTGAAGGAACATGTGGGAGTTGGTTCATGATTCGTGTCTGGCTCCTGAACGAGCGAGCCCCCCAGCCAGGACTGATGTACGCATTTCCTCAGCGGACAGTCTGTCTGGTTGGGTGTGGAGCCTTTTCAGAGGTGGGAGCACCTGGGCTGAGTGTGACACTGTCGCCTCTCCTCTTTTATAGCCAAGTACATCGTGCAGGTGGATGGGAAGATAGGGCTGTTCCGAGGCCTGAGCCCCCGGCTGATGTCCAACGCCCTCTCCACTGTGACCCGGGGCGGCATGAAGAAGGTGAGCCCAGGGCAATGCCGCCAAAGTTGCCCCCAGTCCTGCAAAACCCTCTCCATATCCTTGAGGCAGCACGTGACCGCTGGTCCTTCTCCTTGCCTCCCAGACTGGTCAGGGTGCTGCCTGGCACCTAGCCATGCTCCCAGCCCCTGTGGCCTAACCCTTGTCTCCTCACTTAGAAGAGCACGACCTCCAGTAACCCCCTGTACCCACAGAGTGACCCCCAACAGTAGTGGGCCCCCACCCCAGCCCTAAGGGTAACAGGAGGCAGGCTCAGAAAACAGACACTGAAGAATATACCAGGAGCTGTTACCTCACCTCTCCCCTGGTAGAGTTCTTAATAAAAATTATCTGTACTCCACTTTTGGCCTCTGTTGTCTGTGTATCTCAGGTTTTCCCTCCCGATGAGATTGAGCATGTTTCCAACAAGGACGATATGAAGACCTCTCTGAGGAAGGTTGTGAAGGAGGTGAGCGTCTGGGAGTGGTGATGGGGTGGTCCCTGGTGAGAAATCTGGTGATTTCTAATGCCCGAGTCAGACTGGCCATTCCAGAGAAGCAGAATTAGGTCTCTGTGCAGGTGGGTGGATAGAATGCTAGGTGGAACGCGTCCCTGGTTGGACTAGTGCCAGACCCAGCAGCGCCCCAGGTGGACAACAGTTTAATGCCATCCCTTGGTAGACAAGAAGGTAATGCCATTCTTGATGGGACCTTAGTGGAATCCCAGGTTTTCATTCATTAGAGCTTCCAGCTGCCCGTGTGTGCCATGAATTCTGGAAGCAGGCCTGGCCAACTTGCCTCCTGCTATCTTGCAGACCTCCTACGAGATGATGATGCAGTGCGTGTCCCGCATGCTGGCCCACCCCCTGCACGGTAAGCCCCCTGGGAGTGACTGTGTGGTGAGGGTGGGCTGTGGTAGAATTCCTGGGGAGCAGCATTGGGATGGAAGCCCACTGGAACCATCCCAAGGAAGGATTGGCCAGAACTCCCACCCAAAGGGAACTCAAACTCTTTCCAGCAGAAGGAAAATAACCCAACAGTCGTGGGATGTGACGGGGAATCCCAACGGCCATGCTTTCCTCATTCAAATGCGCCCCGTCTGTGCAGTTGCTCTGCTGCCCATGGCTGGGTATTGTGAGCTTTGGCCACCGCATCACCTCTGTGTTTTCTGTTCTCTCAGTCATCTCGATGCGCTGCATGGTCCAGTTTGTGGGACGAGAAGCCAAGTACAGGTGGGTAACTCTCTTGGGGCTGGTGGGAGTGGTCTTCCCCATTGAGAGTCAGCCAAGCTGGGCTGTGCACAGCACCCTTCCTGACCTGGGTCTAACAAGACAGCTCAGCCTGCCTCACTTCAGAAGACTTGGGGTGGTGACTTCCGAAACCCAGAGGGATTTTCTCTTTCGCGTTTCCTGTTGGAGGCCCCTCTGTGGAAGGGTTGTGATTGGAGCTGCTTGGATTAGGATTCCTGGCCTCAGAGTTGATTGAGCCAGTTAGGTGGTCCTATTATGGAGCTAAGTTCCCTCTAGGTTATGATCCTGTAAGTGAAGGCCCAGCATTTCTCTAGACTGACACAGAATTTGGACTTTCCTCCCAACCCCCATTCTTTGCTGAGAAGCTGGTCTTGGAGCTTACCCCTTCAGCTGTTTTTCAAACACACCGGTGGCATCCTCTGCTGTGCCCAGCTCTGACCCTGGTGCTATAGGGCTCTGAGCCAGGCAGTATGTGGGTCCTGGAGGCACATGGCAGGGGAGAGAGCGTTTCTGTGGCCCCTCCTCTCTGAGAGCCTCATTTCCCGGGTTCAGTTTTGTTCTGTAGCTGAGCCGCTCACTGTTTGGGAAAGACAGCTGAAGGGCAGGACTGGGGCACCGCAGGACCTAGCGGCTTTGGTGCTCACTCCTTCTCTCCTAAACTGTCCCTTCCGCTTAGACTGGCTTCCCTTGAGGCCAGACTGGCTAACATGTCTAGTCACACAGGGCACAGAGGTTACTGTTGCTTCTCGTTTGTGTTTTGTATCTAAGACCCTACAGCCTTGTTGTCTGGCTGCAGTGGCCAGGGTGCCAGTCTCCAAACTCCCTGCTGGAGAGGCCAGATGCCTAGAACTGCTAGGTCTTCTGCCCTGTGGTTTCTGGGTTTCCCTCAGTCCCTGTGAACAGCGTAAATGCCCCTTCACCCCAGACAGTAGCTCTAGATACTTTTCCATGTGGGGTCTTCCTGGACACACTCTCCCCTCCCTGCGTCATCCTCCCCAGGGCTGAGAGAGGAGAGAGTGGGCACTCTTAGGGCTGGTGGGCTCTGCTTCAAGTGGCCTAACCCCATCTGGTCTTCCTCACAGTGGAGTGCTGAGTTCTATTGGGAAGATCTTCAAAGAAGAGGGGCTGCTGGGATTCTTCGTGTACGTGAGTTTATAACCGCGGCGGACCTGGCCGTGGGCCATGGCTTTTCCAGCAGGTGCGCTCTCCACCTCCAGGCCACAGCTGCTGGCCTCAGGCCAAGCCCAGGGCTCTGGAGGACAGCAGCTGTGACCGAGTCGCTGCTCTCCAGCCTACAGTGCTCCTCCTCCGCATGTCCCCACCGTGGGCCACCGGGACCAGAGCCAGCCATCTTCTTTCAAATCATGGCTCTCATGAAAAAGACATTGTTGTCCAGCACTGGGCAGTGAACTGACCATTTTCCTCAGGCCCTGTCCATTCTCCTGACTTTGAGTGTCACTGGGGCTGAGGCTGGTCTTCATAACCTTTGGATTTACTGCTCAGTAAGACCTGAAAATCTGTGGCCTGGATGGAGGGTCTGAGGCTAGCAGCTGGGCCTGGATGGAGGGTCTGAGGCTAGCAGCTGACAGGCAGCCTCCAGGCAGTGGATGGACTCTGGCTTCCATCATCTTCTCGACAAATTGGGTGTTAACATGGGATAGTTCACAGAGAAATCTCTACTTTTGACTGCTCTTGAAAAGCCAGAAAGTCTGGCCCTGCTGTGAAACGCTTTGGCTGGAGGCAGAGTAGCTTTCTGCTGGGACAAAGGGCTCCATCCGTGGACATGGGACATGGTCTCCCTATGTCCACAGACTCCTGCACTCTTTGTCTCTCATTTGCTTTACCTCAGCATGGAGAGAAACCGTATTCTCAGAGGACTGTATAGATGCCTGTGTGTAAACTGAAGCCAGGTTTAACTGTGCTGCTTGCTTCAGTCTGCATTTGTGACTGCCTGGTATTATGGGCATAGGATACCAGATATTGAGTTTCATATTCATTAATGTCTATATGGTGGATTTACAGTTTGCTAGATGTTTTTCTTTATGATACATCATTTAGCCAAAAGAATACTATGTGTTCCAGCTCTGTGTGTTACAGTTCTCAGTGAGGAGTGATCTTCACCCCCCTAGGGGACATTTGGTAATAATCTGAGGACAGTTTTGGTTGTCAAAGCTCTTGGTGAGAGGGTGCTGCTGGCTTCTGTTGGGTAGAAACTAGGGAAGCTGCTAAGCATCCTACAATTCACAGGATAGCCTCTGTAATTGGCCCAAACTATCAGTGCTACAAAGGTTTTCGAAACTCTGATTTATTTACGTGCACATGCATAAGCATATCAGATGTGTATATCTGTTGTTAGGTACCATGGAGCCGATTGTCCACTCTTAGTGACCCAGTGAGACAGCACAGCCTTGCCCCATCCACTGTTATATGCTGTCATCTTGGTGAAAGCAGGTTCCCAGGTCTGTCTCCTATGGAGCCATTGGGTGGATTTGAACTGCTAACCTGTAGGTTAGAAGTCAAGTGCTAACTATTTACCCAAGGACCTGCCCTGACCAGTGTTGTTAGGTACAGGCAAGTCAATCCCAGTGCATGCTAATAGAGGACAGTGGACAGCAGAGAACCACCCAACAGGGCTCAATACGCTCTTGTCTTTATGGGAGCAGATCAACAGGCGTTTTCTTCCATGGAACCACTGAGTGAGTTCAAGACACCAACCGAGTGCTTAACTCTTATGCCACCACGGTTATACATATTGTTGTTGTTGTTGTTGTGTTCTGTCAAGATGGAACTGACCCATTGCTGCCCCTCAGTGGGTTTTCAGAGGCAGTAAATTGCACAGTACTTGATGCCCATCTTTCTCCCGCGGAGTAGCTTGGCTACGTGCCTTTTGGTTGGCATCCCAGCTCCTTACCACAGGGTCACCAGAGCTCTCTTACATATGTGAGGATGCATCTTTTTCTATGTGATTATATTTAGTTTATCGGCACTTAAAGCACTATCGCTTGCCACCTCTGGCATTTTCACATGGTGGAGTTCTGTTCTAGCATGTTAATGGGCGTCCCACCTGACAGACACTTAGCCATTAGGTTCTTCCCTCGCCCTCCCCGAGTCCTTGAGACGAGTGATGTTTGTTAAAACCGCTCAAGTTGATCTTAGCACAGATGGGAACAGCCAGATTGGACATGGGCTCATGGTGGTTCATTTTATTAACGTCCCTTGTGTTACACGTTTATTAAATACATTGTTTTGATCTTTCCAAAAATTTTTATTTTTATGTAAGATTTTTTAGTGATCTAAAAATAATTCCACTTGCCCTCCCAGGAGAAGCCAGTGTCTTCTGGGATCCTTTGAGGTGTTCCATACCTAAGCCAGCAAATAGACACAAGAAACATGAGGTCCCCTCAGATCCAGACTGCTTTTTTCAGGTCTCTGGGGTCCAGGCTGCTTTTTGCCCACAGTGCTGGATTTTGGGAGGCTTTTATATTAGTTTGTGAGCAGTTCATTTGAATGGCCCTCACTTTCAGAGTCAGCCCTCCTTGTAAATGCTTCTTGTGTGGATGTCTTTGATGGAGTGTTCATTCCAGGAGTGAGGAAAAGACATGTGCTGAGCAAACTGTACCACGACGGTGGTTTACTAACAAGGCTGAGAGAAAACTGCCAGCACAGGCAGTCATTCAAATCTGTATTTGAATTCCTCCTGTGGCAGCATCCACAACTTAATATCTGGTCGCTGGGGTTCAGAACTACTTGTGACATCATAACTAAATTTGTGGTGCCTGAAGTCAGTCTCAGCACTTCCTCATGTCAGAAGGAGCCTTGTGCCTTCCTGGTTGGACGGAGCTGGGCACCCCAAGCACCTTGAAGGCTTCTGTGCCGAGGCTGTGTCCTTAGATCTGCAGAAGGGTGGCCCTTGGTCGGCCCTGGTGGAGCCCCCAGGATGTGTTCCCCTCCCCTGCCTGCTCACCTTTGCTCACCTTGTTTTTTTAGCGGCTTAATCCCTCACCTCCTGGGCGATGTGGTTTTCTTGTGGGGCTGTAACCTGCTGGCCCATTTCATCAATGCCTACCTGGTGGATGACAGCGTGAGTGACACCCCAGGGGGGCTGGGGAACGACCAGAATCCAGGTTCCCAGGTTGGTTGGAATAAGGACTTTCTGTCCATCTTTCTGTGTTCTGCTGGTGCCCTGGGGCTGGGGCAGATTCTTGCATCCTCTGGGATTCTGAGTAGCAGGGCCTGAGGGCTGGAGGGGACTCCATGGAGGGCTGAGAAGGAGCCCTCTGGTTTCAGAGGAGTTCCCTTTGCCTGGGGGACACAGAAACGGACAGATGAGAGCCTAGGGTGATAGCCAAACCAGGTGGGGGGGGATTTTATAGAATGCCCATCTCTGAACAGCTTTAGAGAATAAAAGAGACCCAAGATGATCCAAGACTAGTTTAAGACAGCAGTCTACTTAGGGATCAGGAGATGAGCCAGGTAGTAATATGCCTCCATCTTTTGTTTGATGTTCTGTTCTTTTTAAAACCCTCTTGTGAACATAATGGCATTTAATCCTCCAAGCACCCTGGAGGTAAAGAGAATCAAGCAGGCATAATTCCCTATTTTACAGTTAGAAGGACTGCAAGCCAGAGATGAAGGGGGTGGTTGTCCACACTCCCTAACTGGCACTTGGCAAGGCTGAGGCTGGGTCAGGCCAAGGCAGTGCCAGGCCGAGGGTGCTTTCCTCCGTGAGTGGTACAAGTCCTCTACGAAGTGTATAATCCAGCCTTGCTCCTGTTTTTTATTACCAAGTCTCCACGGCCTGTTACAGACCTTTCAGTGGGTTGGGTCAAGCACAGGCAAGACCTGGTCCTTTTGAAAGGTGTGAGGACCTGATGGGCTGACAGAACAGCATGAAGGTAGGGAGGAGCTAGGCCACAGCTTGGTCAGATATTCTCACAGTGATGGTCACCAGCATGGAAGGCAGGGGAGGGCCTGGGGCCTGGCTGCCGAAGTCCCCCAGGGAGGCTTCCGTTGTCCGCATGTCTGTGTCTGTCTGAGCACCTGATGTGATTGTTCTCATTCGGTAGGTCTGGGCAGTATGTGGAGGTTGGGGGCGGGGGGGTGGTCCTGGCCTGTGTCTCTGAATATCCCACACCAGCGGAGCACCTCTGCTCCCAGGGCATCTGTGACCAGCTAGGTAGGTGACTTCCTGGCCTTGCAGTGTCAACAAATATAAGTGACTCCTGGCATATCTGCCCTTAAAGTAGCTGGTGTCCTTGGCTCTGCCCTTTCTCAAGAGCTTTAGGATAGAGGTGCTGCCTTCACACTCTCAGAGCAGGGCCGGGCCAGCCTGGGGCTGGGGACAGCCACCACAGCTGACTGGTTTCCTCTGGTCCGGGTGGGCAGGTGTTTGCCCAGGGGCTACTGCCCTGACGTCAGTGCTCACTGCAGTCCACAGCTTTGACGCAGTTTTCAGGGACTTTTCTGTGAAGTTGAGAAGTTAAGATGCTGCTGTGTGGCCTAGCACAGGCACTCAGAGGGCTGAGCAGACCTCCACGCAGGAGCTCCAGGGCAAACTCAACTAGGGGGTGGCCACCCCAGAGCAAGCCGAGGGGTGGGCGGTCACCTTTTTCAGTCAGTAACTGTCACCTGGACAAGCAGAATTTCAGGAGTTGGTGTGTGAAGGGGAGTGTGTGTGCGTGTGTGGTGAAATGGGCGAGAGCAGGAGTCCCAGGGTTCCCTTTGCTTTGTGCCATACAGCCAGAAGTGTGCCCTTTCATTTCCTGAGCACTGACTGTGTGCTGGCATTAGACATTGATCAAGACAGACACCAGCCAAGCAGCCAAGCCCCTAGTCTGGTCGTGTTACGTGTGAGCCAGATAATCTATTTACCTCGTTTCACTGCTCCTTTCCCTACTGTCCCCAGCTTGTTCCAGGCCTCTAGTTGGCCCTGTGAGTCCCACTTCGGGCTCCCTGGTCCTCTAGTGGCTCTGACCACAAGGCCCTCAAGGCCTCTGCAGGCCCTGAGAATGCGTCTGGTGGAGCTGTGTGAGAAGAGGATGTGAGACCAACTTGGAAGGCTGGGGAAGGAGGCCTCGGGTGTGCAGCCAGCATATATGTGGTCTTCACTCAGAGGTGCATGTAGCAAATAAATCTTGCTTTCTGTCTTTTTCAGTTCAGCCAGGCTCTGGCCATCCGAAGCTACACGAAGTTTGTGATGGGGGTAAGTGAGTGAAGCAAGCTGTCCTTCTTGATGCCCTGGCAGCCTGGGTAGGGCTTTGGCGGTGAGTGAAGGAAGCTGAGGTGAGGTCTGCGTCACTGCTGCAGGGACTCCCTGCTCCACAGGCCCAGGTGGGAGGCTGCCAAGGGGTGAGACTGACACTCCATCCTCTTTGCTTTCAGATTGCAGTCAGCATGCTCACCTACCCTTTCCTGCTGGTCGGTGATCTCATGGCTGTGAACAACTGCGGGTAAGTACATGTTCCCTCAGTGGCCACCCTGCAGGGCTCTGAACGCCTGGCTGAGCCCTCCCAAGCTTCTGCCCCTCTGCGATTCCATCTGTGTGCAGCCCTGCCCGCCAGCCACTTCCTCTGCCATGCACAGAGACCCTCGAGGTTGAACCTTGCTTGGGTTTCAGGATGCGGGTGGGCAGCAGTTCAAACTGTTCTCTCTGAACCCTCTTTGGCTTGGCTGATCTGTCACCACAGTCCCCTGAGTCTAATGTGTGGTCTCTGTCCTGTGCAGGCTGCAGGCCGGGCTTCCCCCGTACTCCCCAGTGTTCAAATCCTGGATCCACTGCTGGAAGTACCTGAGCATGCAGGTAAGCTGCCTCGGAGGCAAGGATGGGCATTCTGTTCTGCCACCGGATTGACCACATGAAACGGTCTTGTGGACTCCTGAGGTCAGACAAAGATAAGGGGTTGTCATAGAATTCGTCATAGTGTGAGTAGGGCAGGTAAAGAGAATGAGGACTCTTAATTCAGGACAGTCCAATGCCCACCCTCCCTTATTTCAGAAGGAATTTGAGGCAGAATTCTATGAATATTAAATATCTAGCTCTTTTTCTTGTTTTAAGTCTTAAAGACCCTTAGGACACTGTAAGGGGCTCTGGCCAATGTAATACGTGGTAAGCTCAAGTACTTTTTATCCCCAGAGTAACTAATAGAGGCTGAAATGAAAGGCTGAGGCGAGTTCACCTGAGTTTTCTGAAGTGTTGGGGCAGTGGGCCTGTACTCCACTAGGACATCCCAGGTGTCTGAGAGAACCTGGGGGGGTGAACTAGGCACACAGTGAGGCTAACAGTGGGTTCAGTTTTGGGGATCTTGGGCTCTGCCCCAAAACACCCTGCTGCTGACTGAAGGTCTTGCCTAGAGGTCAAGGGTCAAGGCTCCTGGCCAAGGGCAGATCTCTGTCCTTTCCTGACTTCAGTTTGCCTTAAAGTCTCATGGGGCAGTGGCCTGGGAAGGAGCCAGCAAGCTGACTGGCCTCAAGGTTAAAAAGGGTGCGTGGGAGGGCAAGACAGCCACTGTTCCCCAGTGATTGAGGCCAGCTCTCCCCAGTAGGGTGGGAGGAGGCCCAGGCCTATCAGCCTCTGAAGCCAGCAAGGTGGTGAGTCACCTCTTCAGTGTTTCCCCCTGAGCTGTCCTGTGACACTTGAGCTCATTTGCACCTGGTCCTCTAGGGTGAAGGCCCATGCTCCCACCTGCCCTAGGGGGGGTCTCTGGGTTCCTGCACACTCTGGGGAAGATCGAAGAGGCATAGCCTACCCTGTCACCTTTTCACCTCTGTTTCTTCTCCTCCAGGGCCAGCTCTTCCGCGGCTCCAGCCTGCTTTTCCGCCGGGTGTCATCAGGATCATGCTTTGCCCTCGAGTAACCCAAGTCACTCTGAAAACAAAACGTAGTGCCTCAACCTGGCCACGTGGCTGAGGCCTGCTCTTCTCGGGGCGCCTGCAAGACGACTCCAACCCAACAACACCTAGATGTGCTCCAGCCCAGCTGAGTTTCAGTTTCCATATTTGCCACGTGTCTGTCCAGAGGTGGGGGACAGGGGTGGGGCTGCACTTCATAGACTGAGTCTCCTGATAGGCCTGTTAAAGGTGGGGAAAGGTTAGGAAGCTGGGGCAGACTTCCCAGATCTACCGAGTCTGCCTGTGCCAGGAGTCCGTAGCTTGTGGGGGCCCAGGTTGATGGAGGAATGGCCAACAGGGTCAGTTCCCACCCCCGACTCACACCCAAGTCAGCTCCAGCACTCAACCCACAACCGGAAGCCTCCCTCCGCTTGTAAATAGGGCGTAAACCCTTGTCAAAAGACCACCATCATGCCTGGGTCTGTGCTCGGAGGCTGTGGCTAAGTTCTGCTTTCATTTTTCTCAACACTACTTTTCCAATAGGAGGGCAGCACCTCCTTTGAATGAGAATCATGTAACTACACAGAACATGTGCCCTGTCTAATGCCCGTCTTGTTAACGGTGGCGTCTACACATGCAGGATCAGTTCCCTGTGTCGTGAATGCCTACAACTCATGCCTATCGGTGTCTCTGGTTCTACCCGATTTAAAAATTAATTTTAAGATTTGACCCTTTTTATTCCTCCCTCAAATAAATGTACTGTGGTGATTTGGAGTTTTATCAGGAGTCTCTTTCTTTTACGAGCTTAGAGAACCATCTGCAGAACTGGCATCAGGGCTGGGGTGTCTCGGGGATGAGCATGTTGGATGCAATGCTTATAGGAGGCATTGGACAATTTTCTGAATTAGAAGAGTTGAAATTGATAGAGACTCGAGACACTCAAGGTCAAGCACTATTTCTTGGCCAGTCTCGACAGCTCAGTCATGTCCAGGATATTAGTGCACTGGACAGGCAAGCAGCTTATAAAGGGGAAGATTGAGGCAGGCTGGCGAAGTACGGGGAGCAGTATGCTTGGCAGGGACTTTCCTTAAAGGACGTTTCAGGAGCAATGATTTTGAAAAATACTGTGTAACTTGATAAGAGGCTGGAGAGCATTGTACCGAGTGAACTAACAACTCAGTCTCATAAGGACAAATACCGCGTGACTATTACTGTAAAAATAGAAGGAAAACTAGTAAAACACATATGGAAACTCAGTGGGGGGAGGGCTGAAGATAGGGGCAGAACCACAGGGCTGCACAGTTCGGTGGGTGGAGGAAGGGGGATATGGAAATGGGAAGGATCTGGGCGAAAAGGGTAATTAATGATAGACAAAGTCCAATGGTGCGTAATTTTATAAAACATAATGCATGAGAATGATTGTATGAAACACAATGTGAATGAAGAATAGTGTGAAACACAGTGTATACGAACTTTGTAAGTAAACCAATAAAAACAAAAAAGAAAGGGCATTTAGCAGTTCCCAGAACAGTTTCGGTTATTATTCAGGTTAACAGGTACAGTGGAGTGGAGAGGATAGAGTGGGACCAACCCACGAGGAGAGTGGCCCCCTGCAATCAGTTAATGTTATACATACTCTGTCAGTAGAATAAAGGACAAAACTCACATGGTTACCACAACAGACACAGAAAGAGCATTTGGCAAAATACAGCTCTCTTTCATGATGAGCTAGTGATAGAAGAAACTTTTCACTCTTCTATAGAAGGTATCTACCAAAAACTAGTATTTTTAATGACGAAGGACTGGATACTGCTTCTTAGACTGGAAACAAGACAAGAATGTGCCTACCACATCTGTTCAGCACGGCTAGGAGACCTCCAGTCAGAGCATTTCAGCAAGAAAATGAACTAAAAGGTATCTGGACTGGAAAAGAAACCGTGTAGAACTAGATGAAATGATCTTGTAAATGAAAATTTTAGAAAAAAAATGGTAAACTTATAACACACGAGTTCAGTATGGTATAGGATGTAAGATCAGTATTTTAAAAAATAATTGTATTTCTATCTAGCAACAAAGAACAAATAAAAATGAAATTAAGGGGGGAAAAGTTCCCTTACAAAAGCATCAAAAGAAAAAAATATTTTGGAATAAATTAGAAAACCTCACAGGCCTAGAGTTGTTGTTGTTAAGTGCCGTCGAGTCGCAGGCGACTCATAGCGACCCTATGAAGGAGAGTCCTCAACGCTTGGGTGCCTTTCATCCTCTCTCCAGGTTCACAGGGTTTCCGGAGGCAAGCTATTACGAAAGTGGATGCCACTAGGCCTAGAGTGAGTGAAAGACTTAATACTGTCAAGATGGCATATTCAATTTGATCCCTTTCAAAATCCCAGCTAGAAACTAACAAATTGACAAATTGACTACAATTCATAAGAGAACTCAAGGACCTCAAAATAACCAAAGCAGTCTTAGGAAAGGAGACCAGAGTTGGAGCACTCATGCTTCTCTATTTGAAAACTTTACATTGATTAGCTATTGTTGTTGTTGATTGCCTTCGACTTGAGCACAACGCCTAGAGACCCTATGAACAAAAGGCCTGAAGCCCCTCTACAACTATCGGCATTTATCAAAGTTCATAGACTTTCCGGAGGCAAACTGTTTAGGAAGTGTGCCACTCCTGCTGCCAAAATTAGCTATAGTTAAGGTACTCAGGAGCAACAGTGTCTCTCTGGAGACTAAGGTGCGCCTGATACAGGCCATGGTCTTTGCAATCGCTTGTTATGCATCAGAGAGTTGGA